GGATGAGGACCAGGCAGAACTACAAAGCGATCTGGACAGGCTGTAGACCTGGTCCAGCAATTGGCTCCTGGAGTTCAACCTCACCAAGTGCAAAGTCATGAAGATTGGGGAAGGTCAAAGAAGACTGCAGATGAAGTACAGTCTAGGGGCCAGAGACTACAAACCTCACTCAAGGAAAAAGATCTTGGGGTGAGTATAACACCAGGCACATCTGAGGCGCACATCAACCGAATAACTGCTGCAGTATATGGGCGCCTAGCAAACCTAAGAGTAGCATTCCGACATCTTAATAAGGAATCGTTCAGGACCCTGTACACTGTGTATGTTAGGCCCATATTGGAGTATGCAGCACCAGTTTGGAACCCACACCTAGCCAAGCACATAAAGAAACTAGAGAAAGTGCAAAGGTTTGCAACAAGACTAGTTCCAGAGCTAAGAGGTATGTCCTGTGAGGAGAGGCTAACCCTTAAACTGTCCAAACAGATCTACGTTCACATGCGTAGTGCTCCAAAAGTAGATCTATGTTTTTTTACATATTTTCAAATACACTATAACAAAAAAAATGTAGATCTAAGTTTTTTTTACGTTTTCAAATGTAAAAAAAAAAAAATGAAGGTCTACATTTTTACATACTTTCATATGTTGAAAAAACGTAGATCTACGTTTGGACAGTTTAAGGGTTAAAGGAAATTAACCTGATGTCACTGGAGTACAGTTGAGATAGGGGTGACATGATAACGACATATAAAATACTGAGAGGAATTGACAAGGTGGACAGACAGAATGTTCCAGAGATGGGACACAGCAACAAGGGGACACAGTTGATAGTTGAAGACTCAGATGAATCACAGAGATGTTAGGTAGTATTTCTTCGATCACAGAGTAGTCCGGAAGTGGAATAGTTTGGGAAGCGATGTAGTGGAGGCAGGATCCATTCATAGCTCTAAGAAGTGGTATGATAAAGCTCATGGTGCAGGGAGAGTGACCCAGTAGTGGTCAGTGAAGAGGCAGGGCCAGGAGCTGTGACTCGACCCCTGCAACCACAACTAGGTGAGTACAACTGGGTGAGTACACACACACACACACACACACATGTGTAGTAATAAGAAATTGTTCATCCTGTTTACTTTTCTCATTTAGAGGGGATGAATACAACAAAGCAACTCCTTGTCTCACTCATTTGTATCCTCAACTCAGATACACTAAATTGGAATGAATTGCATTTTCTCACTGTTGGAGCATTTCATTATTTGTGCTCAGTTAACTGGGGGACTTTTAGTATAAAAATATAGTAATAAAGTACTTTATTAATTTTCAGAAACTTGCCAAGTTTGAAGAATCTATAGGTGTGCAGTTCAATCATATTCGTCTCTTGGCTCGGGCCTTCACTGACCGAAGTATTGGCTTCAACAACCTTACCTTGGGATCTAATCAACGTTTGGAGTTCCTTGGTGATACTGTTCTGCAGCTTGTATCCTCAGAGTATCTCTACCGGTATTTTCCAGAGCATCATGAAGGTCATCTGTCAGTACGTTACTTATTTTTTGCTTAACTGTTTTCACATCCTACAGTGGAAGGATATGAAAACACCTAAAATGTGTCCCAAACATGAATGTTATAAACATTGGTCAGTGAGACAAATAACCCCCTCAAAGAAATGTTGCAACAGAAAATAATATGAGCACTTGACTGTGTATTTTGGTTATACAGTGGACCCCCGGTTAATGATTTTAATCCGTGCAAGAGGGCTCATCGTTATGCGAAATAATCGTTATGCGAATTAATTTTCCCCATAAGAAATAATGGAAATAAAATTAATCCGTGCAAGACGCCCAAAAGTATGAAAAAAAATTTTTTTAACCACATGAAATGTTAATTTTAATACACACAAACTGAAAAAGGCATGCACAATTACATGACACTTACTTTTATTTAAGATCTGGTGATGAATTTATGGGATGGGAGGAGGGGAGAGCATTATCTTCTTACTGTTTAGAAGGGAATCCCCTTCCATTAGGACTTGAGGTAGCAAGTCCTTTTCTGGGGTTACTTCCCTTCTTCTTTTAATGCCACTAGGACCAGCTTCAGAGTCACTGGACCTCTGTCGCACAACAAATCTGTCCATAGAGCTCTGTACCTCCCGTTTCTTCAAGACTTTCCTAAAATGGGCCATAACATTGTCATTGAAATAGTCACAAGCACGGCTTGCAACAGCTGTGTCAGGGGTGATTTTTCATCTATAAAGGTTTGCAGTTCAAACCACTCTGCACACATTTTCCTTAATCTTTGAAGTAGGCACAATGGATTCCACAACTGGCATAGGCTTCCAGGGTTAGCCCCAAACCCTTCAAAACTTTCTTAATTTCCATACTAATTCTCACCCTTTTTACCACAGGGTTGGCACTAGAAGCTTCTTGGGGCCCATGGCCCACTTATTTTCCAGAAACACCACCGAAAACACTGTAATAATACGAAAAATTCCGAGTGTATGCTTGGATGTTACCGCGGAGGCTGGCTGGTAAACAATGGGACGGCCGGCACATGTGAGGGCACATTGGACGCGTCTCGGACGAAAATCGGTATGCGGGTTTTTAATCGGTATGCGGGGCAAAAATTTTGCGATAAAAGTAATCGTTATGCGGAAAAATCGCTATGCGATGCCATCGTTATGCGGGGGTCCACTGTATACTTACTCTTGGCATTGTATTTTATGTCTAATAGGACCTCAGTTTCAGGCTTAAATAAACAGCACTTGTATGATTCTCTCTCTTGTATAATATCTGTGGGTTTGTGCCTCTCCTCACTTAATGACAGAGTTCCATTCCTAATACTGTGTCGGTAAACGAATTCATTGCTAAATGAGGAGCATACTATAATGGTAATGGGTTTATGTCAACCATCTTTGATATTGCTTTAATGTCACCCTTGCAACGTTTATAACATGTTTAGTATATTTTTAAATGTTTATACAGTACTGTACTGTATATTGTAATAAACAGAATGGAGGAAATCAGCTCTAGTATACATTATTCAGGCATGCATACTGGTCAGAGAGCCCGTCATAAGTCCGAGTCATCAGCAAACGAGTACGTCGCTAAGTGAGGAGAAGCTGTACATACATGTTTCCTGTCATTTTCATTCGAGGCAATACTGGAATGACACAATACCAGGATACATATCACATCTGACAGCATATGATTTGATGTGTTTTGGTATATAGTTTTTAATGTATTGACCATTTCTGAGGGATTCTCAATTGCCATCACGTATACAGTAATTACATATATGTACAGATATAAATACCTAATACAGTGGAACCTCGGCTTATGAGTGCCCCACCATACGAGTTTTTCACGATACAAGCAGTCGCTCAGTTGACTTTTTTGTTTCTGGATACGAGCAAAAATTCAGGATGCGAGCTTTCCCCTCAAGCTACTTTTTTTTTAGACCTCCAGATCTCACAAAAGTAAAAGTGAATATATAATTGTATTTCATTGTCGTAATATATTATGCTGCTTTTACTTCTTAAGGCTATAACTGCAACAGAAATAATAGTATTCTTACCTTAAATTGTGGGTGCTGGTGTTTGTCAATGATTGTGAAGAGAGTGGGGAGTTATGCTGTGGACCTACTGGGCTGAGGTGGATGGTAGAGGTTCTGGTACTGAAGTCGATGGTTGTACTGGAGTGTGCATAATTTCTGTAATGGATTTCTGTTCTGTTTTACCCTGCAGTACATTATACAACTGATGGTAAGACATCAGCTGCTCTAGACACCATTTCAGGGTCCTCTTCAGTGAAAAAGTCTAACTTTAAGTCAGTCAGTAAATCAGGCAGTCAGGTCTGTAAGTCAGTCAGTCATGTCAGTAAATCAGTCAAGTCAAGTCAGTAAGTCAGTCAGTCAAATCTGTAAGTTAGTCAGTCAAGTCAATAAGTTATTCAGTCAAATCAGTAAGTCATTCAGCAACACTGTATGCCTACTGGGTGTCATGATTGCTTGGCAGATACAAGATATAGTAATTAAAAGATCAAAACACAATTCACAAACATAGCTAGGTTGTAGGGGAGAAGTGAAACTGAACACGTAAGCTAGGATGGTGGTGTCGGGTGATGGCAAGGGATGGTCAGGAGGTCTCCTTTGCTGACCCACAACAAGGCGGCCGCTTGAGGTAGGGAATGGCCGCCACCACTTGTTATGTATTTTATTCATCCTAGAGTATATATCAGGCTTCTGTGTTATTTATATTGTTTATTATGTCATATTAGATGAACTGTGATAGATAAATAAGGCGTAGAATTGATATTAGTGTCATATTCCTGCCTCCTGTGAGCAGGAATTCCTCTGGAACGGATTAATCGCAGTTCAGTTAATTTAAATGAGGAAAACTGACTCAGCATACGAGCAGATCGGGATACGAGCAAGGTCACAGAACAGATTAAACTCGTAAGCCTAGGTTCCACTGTACTTTTAAATGCCATAGAATTATTATTATAATCATAAACAAGCGCTAAACCCATAAGGGTCATACATTGCTGAAATGCTATAGATTTCTATGTTGTATATGAACAATTAGGTCATTATTATTATTCTGTTGCTCAGTAATTATTAAAGGCAAGCATACAGGTTCCTTCAGATATAATTTGTATACGTACGTATATTCCATGAGGCATAAATTTTTCATTAGTCAGTATCAGTGTTTTATATTGATTGTTGTCTCGTTACTTTAAATTTATCTTTTTGACATTGAAATGAAATGTAAAATTTGGTTTTGCTTTAGAATTGAGTTGTGTGAGTTTTATATCTTATATCATGATCTGGTGTCCATTTCTTTATTCCAGTTACTGCGGTCATCACTAGTAAATAATCGTACTCAGGCCGTTGTCTGTGACGATCTGGGAATGACAACATATGCTATGTACTCACATTTAAAGACAGAACTTAAAACAAAGGATCGTGCAGACTTGCTGGAAGCATTCTTAGGGGCCCTCTATATTGATAGGGTAAGTGAAAAATAGTGCTAGATAAGTGGTAAATAAAATTAAGCCATGATGTAAATATATCATGATTTTTACGTTATATATCAATTCATTTGGTTATGTTTATCATTTGTTGTGATGCCAACACAGATTTCCAGACAAGAACTTGAAAACTCATCAGATAGATGTTAAACTTGAAACTCTAGCCTGATCTTATCAGGTATTGATACAGTGTTAAGTTTGGTTCTTAACTGTTTTTGGCGACTACTTGGAGAACTAATTACAGTAGAGTACTGTAATGTAAACTATATCTTGTTTTTTCATTTTGATCATTATTTAAATTATAAACTGAGAACATAGAACATAAAGAAGGAACACTGCAGCAGGCCTACTGACCCATGCGAAGCAGGTCCATGTCACCCTCCGGCTTAGCCCAATGACCCACCTAGTCAGGTCACTTCCACTTAACCCTTTGGGGATTTCGGTTGTACAAGTACGGCTTACGCACCAGGGTTTTTGACGTACTAGTACACATAAATTCTAGCACCCTCAAATCTAGTGAGAGAAAGCTGGTAGGCCTACATGTGAAAGAATGGGTCTTTGTGGTCAGTGTGTGCAGTATAAAAAAAATCCTGCAGCACACAGTGCGTAATGAGAAAAAAAATTTGACCGTGTTTTTGGATTAAAACAGCGACTTTGCACTGTATTTTCGTATGGTATTTATTGTTGTATTCTAGTTTTCCTGGTCTCATTTTATAGAATGGAAGACATATTACAGAAATTGAGATGATTTTGACTGGTTTTACAATGAAAAGTACCTTGAAAGTGAGCTCAAAGTAGCAGAAATGTTCGATTTTTACCAAAGTTCAAAAGTAAACAAATCATGCTAAGCGTCCAATACACGTCAACTGGTGAGTCTAATATTCTTTCACAAGTGCGCCGATATTATTTATACCATTTCTACACTAATGCAACAGTCTGCATAACAGTAAATCTTCTATTTTTTGTGAGAATAAAAAATCAAAATGGAAAGCAAAAGAAATGTAAGAGGGGCCTGGGGACGTGACTAATGAACAGAGGAAATGTTATTTTAGTGCCAGGAATGTCTTTCTTGTTTATTCTGGACCCTATTTGGAAATTGGCATCTTTTGAAATTTGTGTGAAATTGGCAAAATTGCTAAATTCTGACCACTTTATTGGATAGTTGAAATCGGTAAATGGGTGGTTTCTTGTACTCATTCAATAGAAAAAAACAGAGTTCTAGCGAAATAGTTATGATTTTTGTCGACTAGTACACTGGAATTGGCCAAAAATAGGGCTCAAAGTGGGCAAAATCGCTGATGCGTAAACATCGTCGAGACCGCTAACTTCGCGAGAGCATAATTCCATAAGTTTTCCATCAAATTTCATACTTTTGGTGTCATTATGATTGGGAAGAGATTCTCTATGTTTTCATAAGAAAACATAATTTTTTTTTTTTTGAAATTTTGGCGACCCTGAGAACAAGTATCTGAGAGGGCCTGGCGACCCCCAAAGGGTTAAGGAAGGAGCATGGCATCAGATCTAGTAGCATAAGCTAGTCAGATCTAACTCACACCCACTCATGTATTTATCTAACCTATTTTTAAAACTACACAACGTTTTAGCCTCTATAACTGTGCTCGGGAGTTTGTTCCACTCGTCCACAACTCTATTACCAAACCAGTGCTTTTCTATATCCTTCCTGAATCTGAATTTTTCTAACTTAAAGCCATTGCTGCAAGTCCTGTCTTGGCTAGATATTTTTAGCATGCTATTTACATCCCCTTTATTAATTCCTGTTTTCCATTTATACACCTCAATCATATCCCCGCTAATTCTACGCCTTCCAAGAGAGTGCAGATTCAGGGCCCTCAGTCTATCCTCATAGGAAAAATTTCTAATACAGGGGATCAACTTTGTCATCCTCCTCTGTATGTTTTCCAGTGCATTTACATCCATTCTGTAATACGGTGACTGAGAACTGTGCAGCATAATCTAAATGAGGCCTAACCAAGGATATATAGAGTTGAAGAACAACCTGAGGACTTCTATTATTTATACTTCTAGATATAAAGCCAAGGATTCTGTTAGCTTTATTGCGAACACTAATGCACTGTTGTCTTGGTTTTAGATTACTGCTAACCAGAACTCCTAAATCCTTTCTGCAATTCATATTATTAAGATCTACATTATTTAGTTTATATGTAGCATGATTATTTTCCTGTCCAACATTTAGAACTTTGCACTTGGCTATATTAAACTGCATCTGCTACCTCTCCGACCATTGCATCAGTCTATTCAAATCATCCTCGAGTGCTCTAGTATCCTCATTAGAATGAATTGGATGGCCTATTTTAATGTCATCAACAAATTTGCTTATGTTGCTATTTATTCTCTCATCTATGTCGTTTATATAAATTGTGAACAACAACAAGCCCAACACTGACCCTTGCAAACACTGCTTGTGACGTGCCCCCATTCTGATTTCTCCCCATTTATGCAAACTCTCTGCTGCCTATTTGTCAACCATGCCTCTTCCCCTGGAAAAAATTTCTTCTCCTATTCCGTGTGCCTTAAGTTTCTTCAATAGCCTCTGATGTGGAACTCTATCGAAAGCCTTACTGAAGTCCATATACACAATATCATATTCATTATCATGATCTACCTCCTCAAACACCTTAGTGAAAAAAGTTAGTAAATTCGTAAGACAGGAACGCCCCTTTGTAAAACCAAGTTGAGATTCATAAATCAATTTATGCCTTCCAAGATGGCTATGAAATGTTTCGGCAATTATTGATTCCATAAATTTTCTCATTATGGAGGTAAGGCTTATTGGTCTATAGTTCAAAGCTAGGACATGTCACCTGCCTTGTAAATAGGTATTACATGTGCCATTTTTCACTTACCAGGCACCATGCCAGTTTGTAGTGATATGCTGAAAAGATTAGCCAAAGGCATGCTAAGTTCCTCTTTACATTCCTTCAACACCCTTGCAAACAGTTCATCAGGGCCTGGGGATTTGTTGGGTTTTAATTTCTCTATTTGTCTGAGGACCATATCACTAGTTACTGCGAATTATGCATAGTTTATTATCGTCCTGTTCTACATAATCTATTATTTCTGTAATTTTGCTAGTATTTTCATGGGTAAAAGCTGAGAGGAAGTAAGTATTGAAAATTTCACACATATCCTTATCACTGTCAGTGATCTGACCTGAGTTACTCTTAAGTTGGCCTATCTTGTCCCTAATCTTACTTCTGTATACCTGAAAGAACCTTTTGGGCTAGTCTTCGAATCCCACGGCCTTGCTAAATCTACATCAAATTTAGTGCATGGGAATTTGTTTTAAGAATATTTCCAAAAGCTCTCTTTTTAGACCTATTCAAATTTGTCAACATGTAATGTGGGCAATTTAAAACTTTTTACATATTTTTTTTCTTAATTTGTTATGGTAATTCCTGATGCATATTTTGCATATATATTTCTGTACAGTATTTGTTAAAATCTATCTGTGTTCTGTACTCTGTGGAGCTATTTAGCCTCTTGAAATTAATTATGGATAGTACTGGACATCAAACTAAGTGTGAGAGATGTAATACAGAGAATTAAGGATGACAAAAATTATTGAATTGAAGGTTGTACTGAGAAAGATGCAGCTTTTCGTCACTTAACGACGGAGTTCCTGTCTTAAGACCACGTTGTTAAATGAATTCGTCGTTACCTGGAGTTTACCTGGAGAGTTCCGGGGGTCAACGCCCCCGCGGCCCGGTCTGTGACCAGGCCTCCTGGTGGATCAGAGCCTGATCAACCAGGCTGTTACTGCTGGCTGCACGCAAACCAACGTACGAGCCACAGCCCGGCTGGTCAGGAACCGACTTTAGGTGCTTGTCCAGTGCCAGCTTGAAGACTGCCAGGGGTCTGTTGGTAATCCCCCTTATGTATGCTGGGAGGCAGTTGAACAGTCTCGGGCCCCTGACCCTTATTGTATGGTCTCTTAACGTGCTAGTGACACCCCTGCTTTTCATTGCAGGGATGTTGCATCGTCTGCCAAGTCTTCTGCTTTCGTAGTGAGTGATTTTCATGTGCAAGTTCGGTACTAGTCCCTCTAGGATTTTCCAGGTGTATAGTGAGGAGCATATTATAATGCTAGTGGGTTTGTGTCAACCATGTTTGATATTGTTTTAATGTCACCTTTGCACTATTTATAACATTTCTGGTATACAGTTTCATACAGCTCCCAACTTGAACAATTATGTAAGTGTATTATTGTAAGTGTATTTTAGTAGGTTGGTAGACAGCAACCACCCAGGGAAGTACTACCGTCCTGCCAGATGACTGTGAAACAGAAACCTGTAACTGTTTTGCATGATGGTAGGATTGCTGGTTTCTTTTTCTGTCTCATAAACACGCTAGATAACAGGGATATCTTGCTACTCCTACTTACACTTTGGTCACACTTCACAGACACGCACATGCATATATATATACATACATCTAGGTTTTTCTCCTTTTTCTAAATAGCTCTTGTTCTTCTTTATTTCTTCTACTGTCCATGGGGAAGTGGAAAAGAATCTTTCTTCCGTAAGCCATGTGTGTCGTATGAGGCGACTAAAATGCCGGGAGCAATGGGCTAGTAACCCCTTCTCCTGTAGACATTTACTAAAAAAGAGAAGAAGAAAAACTTCATAAAACTGCGATGCTTAAATGTGCGTGGATGTAGTGCGGATGACAAGAAACAGATGATTGCTGATGTTATGAATGAAAAGAAGTTGGATGTCCTGGCCCTAAGCGAAACAAAGCTGAAGGGGGTAGGGGAGTTTCAGTGGGGGGAAATAAATGGGATTAAATCTGGAGTATCTGAGAGAGTTAGAGCAAAGGAAGGGGTAGCAGTAATGTTAAATGATCAGTTATGGAAGGAGAAAAGAGAATATGAATGTGTAAATTCAAGAATTATGTTGATTAAAGTAAAGGTTGGATGCAAAAAGTGGGTCATAATAAGCGTG